GTGTGAGTGTGTGTGTGTGACTGTGTGTGTGTAACTGTGTGAGAGTGTGTGTGTGTGTGTGTGTGTGTGTGTGACTGTGTGAGAGTGTGTGAGTGTGTGTTTATGTGTGAGTGAGTGTGTGAGTGTGTGTGTGTGAGTGTGTGTGTGTGTGACTGTGACTGTGTGAGTGTGTGAGTGTGTGTGTGACTGGGTGAGAGTGTGTGTGAGTGTGTCTAACTGTGTGTGTGTGACTGTGTGTGACTGTGTGACTGTGTGTGAGTGAGTGTGTTTGTGTGTGTGTGAATGTGTGTGACTGTGTGAGTGTGTGTGACTGTGAGTGTGTGTGTGTGTGTGTGTGTGTATGTGTGTGTGCGTGTGTGTGAGCGTGTGTGTAAGTGTGTATGTGTATGTATATGATTGTGTGTGCATGTAAGTGTGTGTCTTCCTGCCCACTTCCCCAGGGACGGTCCCATGTCCTGACACCCAGTCACCAAGTTGGCAGCAGGTTGCGTGGGAATCTGAGGGGCCCTGGAAACATGTGTCGTACCAGCAGGCCTGGGCGTGGAGTCCTACCCCAGGGCCTTTGCACGTGCTGTTCTTTCCAGGATACCTACAGGGGCTGACCCCCCTTTACCACCCCCCCCTCCGCCATGCATTCCAATCTCTGTTCCAATGTCACCTTACTTGGGAGAGCTCCTGGCCAGTCTGGCTGAGATGGCGCCCCCTGCTGGCCGCTCCTGTCCTTTTATTCCAAGTCGTAGCGCTATGGGGCATCGCCCACGTGTCTGTTTATGCCCCCCGGACACCCCAGGCGATGAGCTCCCTGGAACCAGGCGCTCTGCAGCCTGGTGACCCTGCGGGAGGGCCAGGCAAGCGCCAGGGCCCGCCTTCCCTGTGGCTGGGGAGGGGCCACCCCTGGTCCTGGGCCGCTGTGTCCTGGGGCGTCTGCTCTTGGGATGACCTTAGGGAGGGGAGCGGGAGGGTGAAGGGGTGAGTGAGTGGGAGAAAGGGTCACACAGGAAGCCAGAGACGTGAGGAGAGAGACATGGGCAGACAGCCGGAGAGACGCGGACAGAGAGAAGCCCTCAGAGACCGGCCCGGGGAGGGAGCCGTGGAGGTGCCCGCCAGGGAGGCCCTGCGGACAGGGCTCTGGAGCCGGTTCGGAGGAGGCGGGCGCTGGGGCCAGGGGCAGGGGCCCACGGGGGGGGGGGGGGGGGAGTGGGGGGAGGGGAGGATGAGGGTGTGTGAGGCTGGGGTGGCCGTTTCTTCCCGTTGCTGGGAAGCAGGCCCCCCCCTCTCGGGTGCTCGGTCTCGCATTCCGGCCGGCGTCTGCCGCCCCCAGAAAAGCCAGAGAAGACGCCTGGCCGGGACCAGCTGCGGTCTGTCCTCGGAGACGCCCTCATCGGGGGGAGCAGCTGCCGGCCCAGACTCTCTCTCACCGTTGCTGTTTCTCTCTCTCCCTCGCCCTCCTCTCTGAAAGCAGCACAGATACCTGTATTTTTTAAAAATATATATTTTATTGATTTTACACAGAGAGGAATTGAGAGGGACAGAGAGTTAGAAACATCGATGAGAGAGAGTCACCGATCAGCTGCCTCTTGCACACCCCCTACTGGGGATGTGCCCGCAACCAAGGTACATGCCCTTGACCGGAATCGAACCCGGGACCTTTCAGTCTGCAGGCCGACGCTCTATCCACTGAGCCAAACCGGTCCCGGCCAAATACGTGTATTTTTAAAGCAGACGTTTTTGCTGAGCATGAGTGGGGTGCCCAGCCAGGGCCTCCTGGCCACGGGCTGGCAGGGGCGAGCCCCACGCGGAGAGGGGGTGTGGAACAGGGTCCCCTCCCCCCTGCACAGCCCCGCCAGCTCTCACGGGGCCGGGCACTGCTGGCATCGTCTGGCGCGTGCCCCTGGGCACGGGAGGCTGGCCCACAGCCAGGGGAGACGCAGGTCCTGCCAGGGGGTGAGGCTCCCAGGCCCTGGGGCCCCACGTGGCCAGGCCCGCGCTCTGCGGTGCCCGCTCCCCGCCCGCTCGGCCCCTCCGACCGTGGCCAGAGCGGTCAGTTCCGGAGTGTGCTGAACGCTGGGAAGTGGCTCAACTCGTAATGTGCGAGCACTCAGAGGCGTCTTGCTATTATTATATTTAGCTGTCAAGTGGGATCCTCGAGAGCCGGAGAAGTGCGTCCTGCCCACGTCCGCCGCCTGCGGCCTCCCGCCCGGAGAGCGGAGCGTGCGACGTGGTTATGGTGCCGAGGGGAGGGCGGACGGGGGGGCGGAGGGATGGGCCGTGCGGAGGGACCACGGGAGGGAGGGGCCACAGCTCCTGCAGTGGTTCCTGTCATTGGTTTTGCGGTGGAGGCCGTCTGCACAGCCTTCCTTGACTTCAGCAAGCTTTCACCCTGCTCAGGCCGGAGCAGGAGGCCTGGAGGTGGGCTGGTGGTGTAGCTTCTGTGCCTCGGGCCAGGGGCCAGAGCACCGGCCGCAAGCTGCCCCTGGCGTCCGAGGCTGGGCCTGCCAGCTGCACGGCCAGCAAGCCCAGGCCAGGCCGAGCCTGCGCCCCTGGCGGTGGGGAGGGGGCGCTTTTCGGCGGGTGGAGCAGGGTCTCCCGGGGGGAGGGAGGAGGCCTGTCTGTCCTGCCAGCGCCCGGGGCCTGCCCGCAGACAGACACGAGGGCAGGCGGAGCCTTTGGGCTGGGTGGTTTGCACTCTCCGCAGACCGGGAGCTTTTAGAAGCCTCAGGGGCTGCAGGGGTGAGGCTTCAGCTCCGTCCCGTCTTCTCGAGCGCAGCTCCGAGGCGGGCGGTTGCAGCGTCTGTCCTGCCGCCGTCTGCCCGAGGCCGGTGGGGCAGCCTGGGCAGAAACACTGGCCGTGGGTCAGGGACCTCAGTCAGACTCGCCCCTCCGTCTCTGGCTGCTGTGGGACCTCAGACCCGTGGCTGCCCCCCTCAGCCTGTGGCCTGTGCGTGGTGGAGGCCAGGGGTCCGAGGGCCCTCTGGTTCTCAGGGGCCGGGTGCTGCGAGCTCGCGGGCGTCAGCGGCGCCTGTGGCCGTCTCGGGGGGAGACTGCCTTTGGGGACGGTTTGGAGTGGGGCTCGGTGGGTCACTGGCCTCACTCTTCAGTTTTATTATTGAACCAGCCTTTGTTTTGTCCATGAACTTTTTTGCCAGCGAATCGCGTCCACCAGAGGTCCCCGATTTCACAGCTTAGAGCATTTCTCGGGTCTTTCTCATCGTGGCTTCGTTCCTGCTTCGGTTTTGAGCTTTGCCTTGTCAGATTCCTCCCGACATTAAAAATAGGGTTCCCTCCCTCCACTCCCCACCTCCCCCCGCCCAGCTCTCCTGGCGCGAAGGCCTCCTTACATTTAAAAAATATATATATATTTTATTGGTTTTTCACAGAGAGGAGGGGAGAGGGATAGAGAGTTAGAAACATCGATGAGAGAGAATCATCCGCCAGCTGCCTCCTGCACACCCCCTACTGGGGATGTGCCCGCAACCAAGGTACAGGCCCTTGACCGAATTAAACCTGGGACCTTTCAGTCCGCAGGCCGACGCTCTATCCACTGAGCCACACCGGTTTTGGCCCTCCTCACATTTTCCTCCTCCGTTGGAGCTGTTGGATGCAGAAGCCGAGGGAGTCGTCACACCCTGGGAAAGCCACTGCGGCTCCCGGGACTCCACTCCGGGAATTGCAGACAAACTCGGTGCCCTTCGGTGCCAGCACCCCTGGGGACCCAGGACGACTCTCGTTTTTAAAACCTGGAGCGGTCAGAGTTTCTCGGCTCCAAGAGCCCGCGTTTAAAAGCCAGACGGAAGCTTCGCGCGCTCGGAGGCGCCGGCCTGGGCCCTCGCCCGGAGGCCTGCGGGAGGGGACCCACCGAAGTAACGGGAACAGGGAACAGGGCGGCTGTGCCGAGGGGGCGGTGGGGGGCCGGGGGCGGGGCTGAAACAGCAGTAAGCTGGAGGAGGAATTTCCAGGCGGCCTTCCGTCTCCCCTTCGTGGCAGCCGCTCTCTGGTGTCACGGCTTCATTGTTTGAAACGATGCCCAGACGAGGCTGGCCGCGGGACGGGAATGTTCCAGTTGGTGGTTATTAAACGCCGGGAATTTTCCCGAGGCTCCTTCCAGGGCTAACCTGGCCCGGCCCCCTGATGGCTTTGAGGGGAGCCTGGCCTCTCTGGCTTCATCGCTTACCCTACCTGCCAAGGTTTCTTCTTGCCCCCCCCCTTCCCCTTCTGCCCCCCTGCTGGAATTCTAGCCACTCCCTCCGCCCGCCCTCTGCCCACCTGGAGGCGGTGGCTGGACCGGGAAGCCCCTCAGAGCCTGGCGAGGCCTCAGGAGTCAGTCAGAGCCTGGCGAGGCCTCAGGAGTCAGTCAGAGCCTGGCCTCAGGAGTCAGCTCCTCTGACCCTGCTCCTGGGGAGAGACAAGACTCCCTCATCGGGCGCCTGGCCTGTCCCCCATCACCCCGAGTCGGCGGCAGAATCACCGCACGCTCTGCAGAGCGAGGTGCTTACCCAGGCTCCCCCAGGCGCCCCTCAAACCGGACACACGGGCGAGGCAGAGCTCATTGCTTGGAATAAACTCATGCAGACCTGCTCTCCGACCTGAGCTGATGGAGGGGCGGCGGCCTGGGAGACGGGGAAACCTGAGAGGGGGGAGGCCCCCGGAGACGGTGTGGGCAGCGCTGACCCGGGAGGACAGCACTAGGCAGGGAGGCGCTGGGTGAGGGCGGGACCACACCTTCCTGCCGAGGGGCCCGAGCCTGCTCCTGCCCCTGCTCCTCCGAGGGAACACGGGTGCCCTGGTCTCCGCTCCGGCCAGAGTGACTGCCCGCGCCCCCAGGAGCCCGCCTCCTGCCGCCGGGGTGGGGGATACAGGGCGGGGTGGGGGGTACGGGGCAGGGTGGGGGGTACGGGGCGGGGTGAGGGGTACAGGGCAGCGCGTGGCCCACGTGGCATACGCTGTGGACTCAGTGCCGCTGGCTCCCGGGGCCGGTCCTGATGGCATGTCCTTTACCCCAG